GATATTTCGGGGGGAATGACATAGATCGGGATTTCAACATGCATATGGGGTTAATGGACAGGTTATTGGGGGGTGGCCAGGGTGGCGGTCATGAAGGTGTTTCCGCGTCTGCGCCCTCGGTCGGTGACCCCGGCGGAGTATGCTGCGCGGCGGGCCCGCCTTAACCTAGCCCTCAATTTCGAGTTGCGGGAGCGGGGCTTGGAGCTGGGCGACGGCGTGCACCTGAACCCCACAGGGATGTTCATGAGATCCGCCACCTGGAGATAAGAATTGGGCTGAAAGTAGGTTAGGTAGCAGAGAGAGAGAGAGAGAGAGAGAGAGGAGAAGAGAGAGAGAGAGAGAGAGAGAGGAGAGGAGAGAGAGAGGGATAGAGGGGGAGGTAGAGGCAGGGGAGCATGGGAACAGGAGGGGGGGAGACAGCGTGTTAGGATAGAGTGATAGGAATTTATTAGTTGGTGTCATGTTATAGGTAGTACAAGTCGGGCCAGGTGTTCAAGGGGAGATAATTGGGCAAGTAGGTTAGGTAGCTGGGATAGAGGGGGAGGTCCCTTGGACGGGGTTGGTCAGGGTGGCCAGAGTTGATACGACCAACACTTTCGATTAACCTTGTCCTGACTCCCCCATAGTCAAAATTCATAGGGTGGGTTATTCGGCTTGATAGGTTAGATAGGCTTACAGTTTGGTTGGGTTAGAAAGGGAGGTCACCGGGTAGGGGCTGGTCTGGGTGGCCAGAGTTGATACGACCAACACTCAAGATTAGCCTTGCCTTGACTCTCCCAGGGTTCAAAATTGATGGGGTGGGTTATTCGGCCTGGTAGGTTAGTTAGGTTGGCTTCGAGTGGGGCTCTAGTCCTTGTGGCTAGAGTTGATACGACCAACACTTGGGCGGAGCACCATTCACAGCCATTTAGTTAGAATAGGGGAGGGTGTCCGAATGCCTGGACCGGCTTAATTCAGTCATATGTTAGTATAGGGTGGCTTCCCCAGTGATAGCTGTGGGTAGGGGGGAAAACTCTTGGCCGCCGGAGGAGGAGCAGAATATTTTTTTTCAAGTTTGCTAATTTTATATATGTCATATATTTTTGTTATTTTTATTTTTTGTTATACAAGTAAATACCTCTGAGAGGAAATCATGTTGCCACCAAGGAGATGGTGATTATGGAGGCATTGCCCCTTAGCCAAGAACCTGACTAGTGCTAATACGGGTATTTCTGTTCAAAATGGGGGGTTTCTGAAGTCTGGAATGATGAATTTATATATTTTCATTCGACTGTGGTAATAATATTGAGGTACCACTAATAGACTAGTAATGATCATCATGATAGCCAGTAGTGAAATTCGAACATGGAATGTAATGATTAAGCAGCAGCCATAACTAGTCGGGTTCTTCTATATTGTAAACTGTAGTTCAAATTGTTATAATGTAATGTACACAGTAGAATTGTAACTGTACTCTCTGAATATTTTTCTTGGTTCCAGTTAAACTTGTTGAGATAAAAATGTAAAAAAATTCGATTGTTTGGAGATGACAGTAATGGCCCACAGTGTATCAATTCAAATTATACTAATCAAATAATGTACTGTTATATTGGCTGCTAGCCTGAATTATCTGTAACTTAAGCACTAGGAATGATTACCATGAACATTATGCACTTATCTTAGAAAGATGTTTAAAATATGCTCAATTGTGCTCATCTGTGCTTAAACAACCATTACCATGTACATCTGGTGCTACTCATAGAAAAATGCTCCAAGGATGCTTAAAATAAGCTCAAGTGTGCTCATCTGTGCTTAACAACCATTACCATGTACATCTGGTGCTACTCATAGAAAAATGCTCCAAAGATGCTTAAAATATGCTCAAGTGTGCTCATCTGTGCTTAACAACCATTACCATGTACATCTGGTGCTACTCATAGAAAAAAATGCTCCAAAGATGCTTAAAATATGCTCAAGTGTGCTCATCTGTGCTTAACAACTATTACCATGTACATCGGGTGCTACCCATAGAAAAATGCTCCAAAGAGGCTTAAAATATGCTCAAGTGTGCTCATCTGTGCTTAGCAACCATTACCATGTACATCTGGTGCTACTCATAGAAAAATGCTCCAATGATGCTTAAAATATGCTCAATTGTGCTCATCTGTGCTTAAACAACCATTACCATGTACATCTGGTGCTACTCATGGAAAAATGCTCATAAGATGCTCGCCAATGCTCAATGATGCTTAACATGCTTAGGGATGCCAAAAACTTTCCTCGCAGTGGAGAGAATGTAAATTGTATCTACAGCCTGAAGAGATCAGGAGTTGTTGTGATTGAAAGTGTTCAGAAACTGAGTTAACTGCACCTTGAGAAGAACATCTGCTTAAAATTATGAATTTTATGGTGCTTCCCAGAACTTTAAACATTCCAGACAATCAACCATGTGAAGACAAGGACTGTCATGACCCATTATTTTATGGGAAGCACATATTTGTAACATTGATTACTTACTGTTGAAGTTTGGCAATAATTATTGCTGATGCCCCAGGAGTTGCACCAAAGAAAAAAAAAAAAAAAAAATCTGATTATACAGTTGTGACTCTTAACTAAATTACAATTGAGCAAGACTTTATATAAGTGACATTTAGATACCAACCAATTTATCTTCAGTAGATTGTAATTTAAAATTGTACAAGCAATTATAGCAATAAAGACAAGACTTGGGCCGAGTCATCTGGAAATTGAGATTGTGTAATAATGCCAATATTTTTGTATTGTAATTTTGAACTTCATGCTATAGGGGCCTGCCTCCATTAGGTATTATTATCAAATGGTGAAATTTTGTTGTATGTAAAGACATGAAATGTCATTCAAATTTATTGGCCAGTGAGGAAATGATGGTACTTAATCAAATGCAATAGTTCATTATTATTATTAATATTATTATTATTATTATTATTATTATTGTGAGTCGAGTTGGATGTGGCAATTGATAGCACATGGCTAATCTTTTAATTTTAGGTTCAGTTCCGAGAAGTTTGGGCGGCTTTGGCCCACCTGGTTTGTCCTGTGGACCACGTGTTGTTTCAACAGCAATCCATGTGGAACCATCGTTGGCCAGCCTGGTGATACATTACCATTATGGGTGACAAACCTTAACTAGGTCAAAGGTCAAGGTCGGGGTTTGTCTTTCACTGGTGGAATTGTGGCAAGACATCATGAGATAGAAAGGATCAGAGGTAAAGGAGCCAAGGTCACTAGGTCAAAGGTCGATATTGCCGAGTAAAGGTCAAGGTCGGGGTTTGTCTTTCACTGGTGGAATTGTGGCAAGACATCATGAGATAGAAAGGATCAGAGGTAAAGGAGCCAAGGTCACTAGGTCAAAGGTCGATATTGCCGAGTAAAGGTCAAGGTCGAGGTTTATGTCGTTCACTGGTGGAATTGTAAGACATCCCGAGAGGAAATGAGTCATAGTCAGTCGAGTCCAAGGTCATTGGACCAAAGGTCAATATTACCAGGGCAAAGGCCATTACTTAACATAGAAATATTTTACGGATTTTGAAACAGTAAGTTGAGTCTCGGCTACGCGGTCGTAGCCTGCCCGGGTGGTTGGAGGGTGTGTAGCGACGCGTGGGTCACTTCGTGTCGTTTTTCGGAATTTAGTACAACCCTGTCCGAGGAAGCGAGGAACTCTGGGAGAAAAAGTGACGTCACAGGCTCTTCCTTTGGAGGCCAAGATACGATAGGTCGGTATTGAAATTCAGGCAGGGTAATCTGTTAGATTTTTGTGTTGTCAGCGCCCATCTCTTCCCTAAAATGTTATAAAATGGTTTACTAAACATCAGTTGCCACCTACAACCCGATAGGTTTGATTTCCGACCGTGTAATTTGGTATATTTTTCGATTTATGCAGACTTAAGTTTTGGCGGGAACCTCGTGTCGTGATTGAGGGGAACGTTCGCTAGCTGTTGAAATTTTGTTAAATAGTGGATAATTCGAGAATTGGTATTCTCGGGGAGTAGTTTTCTCTCGTTCGGTGAGGCTAATTTTGTGTGCCCCCCTCGCCAAGACGAACGTAGGAGAAGGCGGTAGTGTTGAGTTGGACTTTGTAAATTTGGAGTCGGTCACGTGGCGGAGATTTGTCCGTTCGGCGAGGTTTGAGACTCGCTCCGAGGAACGGTGTCAGATTCCGTGGGCCGAGAGTTAATTTAGCTAGAGAATTTCGACAACCACGACATTGGTTCCTGCCTGGTAGTTAGTTTAGGTAAAAGTTTGTTTATTTCAGGTGGCTTCTGTACATTGTTAGGGTTAATTTAAAACACTCACTGAGCCGGTTAAATGTCTTTCATGCTAAACTTTACTCTTGTAAAATATATAATAAATTGTTGAATCTGTTTAATTCTTCTCGTCATTATTGCCAGTACTTGGTCGAAATTTGTTAGTGAAATCTGCAAGCGAAAGCGGCAGTCGAACCCATTGGGCACTTTTATTATTGTAACTACAGAGGTGACGTCCGCGGGGCAGCCACTAGCGGGTCGCGAGACGTAGTTCGTTACACAAGTCTGCGTTATCTGAATCTAGTTTTGTCGAAGGAGCTATAAGTGAACTTTTGCAGAGAAATCTAATAGTCAGGTGTAGTCAAATACCTCGGGTGGTCAATCCATTGACAGTTTCCATACAGAGTAATTCTAAAAAGAAATTGATTTTGGATTTACGAGTAGTAAATAAACATTTATGGAAACAGTGTAAAGTATGACGACATCCGTGTAGCACTGATGTATGTTCAAAAGAATTGTTGGATGTTTAAATTTGATATACACTCGGCGTATCATTTTGTCGAGATATTTTTACCACATACCGAGTATTTAGGATTTACCTGGACATATGAAGATGGTAGAACTGTATACTATAATTTTTTGGTGTTGCCTTTTGGGTTATCATCTGCCCTATACATATTTACAAAGCTATGTCGTCCTTTAATAGCAAAGTGGAGAGGGGAGGGAAAGTTGATGTTGATGTATCTTGATGACGGTTTTGGATGTGGAAAAGATTTTTCAGGAACTCAGAGTTTAGCACATGATATCAAGTCAGACTTGCTAAAGTCCGGTTTTGTGCCAAAGGCAGAAAAATCGTTGTGGGTACCGGTTCAGGTTTTGCAGTTTTTAGGCTGTACTATTGATTCGGAGCGTTTTATTCTGTATGTTACAGAGAGTAGGGTTGAAAAGATTCTGAAAACTTTAGAGTATATCGAGGAGACAGTCAGGAAAAGTAGGAGGGTGCCAGCTAGGAAAGTGGCCAGTTTAGTGGGACAAATTATTTCTATGAGTGTTGTGATTGGTAGTGTGTCTCAGATTATGACGAGGTATATCAGCATGGATATTTCACAGGTTTTTTCTTGGAGTGCCTATATTAAGTTGTCCGACGAGAGCCTATTACAACTTAAATTCTGGAGAGAAAACGTGAACAACATTAATGTCAAAACACTGAGTGAGGTTGAAAAGTGTTCTAAAATAATATACAGTGACGCAAGTGGTTCTGGTTTCGGTGGGTACGAGGTTAATACAGTGAATGGTGTAGCACACGGGGTGTGGACAGAGGAGGAGAGCGGTAAATCTTCAACATGGCGGGAGTTAGTTGGTGTTTTGAGGGTTTTAAAATCTTTAGGAACCACATTAAGCGGTCATCGTGTGAAATGGTTTACGGATAACACAGGGGTCTTTAAAATCGTAGATAAGGGTTCTATGAAACTTGATTTGCAGTTAGTTGCGAAGGACATATTTCATACTTGCATTAAGTATGCTATTTCATTGGAAATGGAATGGATACCAAGGACGTTAAATGATAGGGCAGATTATCTTTCAAGGGTTCTCGAAAAAGATGATTGGGGAATTTCCATCAATAGTTTAAATATCATTATTCAGAGATGGGCAACACTTGACGTTGACTGGTTTTCATCGGAACATAATGCAAAGCTACCAGTCTTTTTCTCAAGATTTTGGAGTGAGGGCTCCACAGGGGTGGATGCATTTGTTCATTATTGGGGAGATAGTAGAGGTTTGTTCGTACCTCCACCTTGTTTGATTCTACGAGTTGTGAGAAAGATGATTTATGAAAAAGCACAGGGTGTGTTGGTAATTCCGTTGTGGAAATCAGCTATGTTTTGGTCTGTTATATCTAAGAAAGATGGTACATTTATACCACAGATTTCAGATTATATCGATTTACCTACAGCAAAGGAGTGGTTCACACCATGTAAGAGTGGTGTAGGAATTTTTGGTAATTTAGATCTGAAGTTCCGAATGTTAGCACTTTTTATGGACTGTTAAGTCATGACTATGGCGAATGGTTTACTACAGTAATTTGAGTGGTTCGTTGTGACTTATTTTGCACAGTATTAGGGTTACTAACTTATTTGCTGCTTGGCATAATTGTATTATGTAGTTATTTGTATGCCGTATTTTTGAATGAGACATAAGTTCATCTGAATTAGATATATGTATGCTGCTTGGTTGAATTAGATACATATATGCTGCATGGCTGAATATATACTAAAGTATATGCCGCATGGCTGAATTGGGCATATGTGTGCCGCATGGCTGAATTAGATACATTTATGCCGCATGGCTGTATAAAATACATGTATGCCGCATGGCTGAATCAGATATATGTATGCCGCAGGGCTGAATTAGATACATGTGCTGTATGCAGCATGGCTAAATTCATGCATGTATGCCGTTTGGCTGAATTGAGCACTATGCCGCATGGTTGAACTAAAATATTTGTGTGCCGCATGGCTGAATTAGATATCAGTATGTCGCATGGCTGAATTACGATATATATAGTATATTTACAAGTGAAGCGTTGGCTAAGCATTATAATTGTATATAGTACAGGACGAAATAGTATGTTAGTGAGGTACAATTGTGGGATATTTGTGGTACATAACGAGATTTTAAATATCTAATTATTTTGATTGATTTGCTTGATTTTTAATTATTATTTTCCTTTTTTAAAGATGTTTTTTCAGTGTTACGCTGATGAGATCGAAGAGCTTCCGGGAGTTTTGTCTGGTGAGGTTGCCCTGATTCCGGAATTACTCAAAGATTCGCGAGCTGTGAACACGTCGAAAAATTATACGCGTGGATTTCAGCGTTGGAAACGATGGTTGTTGGCAAGTGGGTTGGAATCGGGGACGCTTTGCCGGCCAAGGCATTCCATGTTGCTCTATATTTAGTTTCGTTGGCACAAACTGCAAATACACCAAGTCCAATTGTGAATGCTTATTATAGTTTAAAGTGGTTTCATGATTTGTATGATTTGGACTCTCCTACTAAATCCAATTTGGTGAGAAATGTTTTGGAGGCGTCAAAGAGGAGATTAGCCAAACCAGTTGTGAAAAAGAAACCGATGACTGTGGACTTATTATTGTCAATGTATAAAAGTAAGTTCAGTGTTGGTAATCTGAAAAATCAAAGAATTAGATGTGCGTGTTTACTTGCGTTTGCTGGGTTTTTGAGGAGTGATGAGCTGCTACGTATCAGAGTGTGTGACGTCATGTTTGCCAGTGCATATATGAGTGTGTTCATTGAATCTAGTAAGACTGACAAATATAGAGATGGTGCATGGCTGATGATTGCTGAGACTGGGACGTGTTTGTGTCCGGTAAAAAATTTGAAGTTGTTTTTTGACTGGGCCAGTTTAAAGGAGAATTCGGATCAATATATTTTTTGTAGTTTGTCTCCAACCAAAGATGGTTATAAGGCGAGATCGGACAACAAATCTATGTCTTATACTACTTTACGAGAGTTGTTTATTGAAGCGTTTAAACCACTTGTTGAGGATATGTCTCAATTTTGTTTGCATTCTTTGCGTGCTGGTGGAGCTACAGCAGCTGCCAAGAATGGTATCGAAGATAGATTGTTTAAACGTCATGGTCGCTGGGTTAGTGAAAATGCCAAGGATGGCTATGTGGAAGATTCTTTTACAGAACGTCTTAAGGTTTCTGAGAGTTTAGGCTTGTAAATTCAAAGACTAGTTTTCCCGTTCTTTTAGTTCAGTGGCGATTATGCGCTCATTACAATAAATATATTTGATATTTTCATTTTGGTGTTTGAGTATTTCCTGTTGGAGGGTGTGGTATTGGAGGGAAATATAATTATCGGAGTTTGATGGTACAGAATTAGCCGATAATTATTTTCCCTTCAGTGTCATACTTTCCGATAGGGGGGTGTTGTGAATGCGATAGTCGCTCCGACAGTGCACATGACTTGATTTTAAAGATAATTTTCAGTAAATAAATTTAAAACTTTAATAAACTGATTTTGTATGAATTACGGAGTTGACAGGATGTTTAGATTGTCATGAAGTTGAAAGACAGATTGGTGAGTGAGTGTGTTATCAATGTATTTGTACTTACATTGTGAAACTGTCGGTCAGTGGCGATTATGCGCTCATTACAATAAATATATTTGATATTTTCATTTTGGTGTTTGAGTATTTCCTGTCGGAGGGTGTGGTATTGGAGGGAAATATAATTATCGGAGTTTGATGGTACAGAATTAGCCGATAATTATTTTCCCTTCAGTGTCATACTTTCCGATAGGGGGTGTTGTGAATGCGACAATCGCTCCGACAGTGCACATAACTTGATTTTAAAGATAATTTTCAGTAAATAAATTTAAAACTTTAATAAACTGATTTTGTATGAATTACGGAGTTGACAGGATGTTTAGATTGTCATGAAGTTGAAAGATAGATTGGTGAGTGAGTGTGTTATCAATGTATTTGTACTTACATTGTGAAACTGTCGGTCAGTGGCGATTATGCGCTCATTACAATAAATATATTTGATATTTTCATTTTGGTGTTTCCTGTCGGAGGGTGTGGTATTGGAGGGAACAAAATCTTGGACAATAAGAGATTGTTATGGCTATTTCTTCAAATACTAGATGGACCTTTCTCCAATTTCGTATGTAGGTTTCCCTTGGCCCATAGTTGTACCCGTTTTATTTGGGAATGAGCAGACAAAGAAAATGGCCGACAGGTAGCCATCTTGGACTTTTACAATGAACGTTTGTTATCGCTATTTCTTGAAACGTCCTAGACAAATCTTTCTCAAATTTCATAAGTAGATTCCGTTTGGTCCCTAGATTTGACCTTTTGACTTTGCGACTTACTAGAAAAACAAAGATGGCTTACCATCTTGGATGGCAGTTATCGATTATTATCGCTATTTCTTGAATGATTATTATATAATGGCGAATATTGGAAAGAGGAAGAACAAAGATCAAACAATGGGTCTCTTGTTAAAGTATATTAAGGCCTTAACCTTTGACCCCTAAAACAATATGTAATATAATTTGCTGTAAAAACTACACCGGTATAAAATTTGAGTGATGTTAGTCACACAGAACTGGAAACATTAAGGAAACTTCTCTATTCATAGTACCTTTGGCCTCCTGAAAAGCAATACAAAACTTTCTTCATTTAAGTATTAGAAAGTGCAATGGGTCCAGCAGAACTGTTCATATTCTGCAGAACACAAGAAACACAGAAGAAATATCAGTTCAGCTCATTACAGAGCTTCCAAATCTTAGATGCAGGCTTATAACACTTTCATTATTGAAATCCAAAAAGGCCATCTCTTTCGATCAGATCAATCAGATATGATTCAACATCAATATTCGGCATGATTTTCAAAATAGCTAACTTCTGTTATTCACTGTTGTAAAGGAGGAGAAAACACAGATTAGATATTTTGTTTTTTTAATTGAATATTTTTCATAATAAGGCAAGCATAAAATACTGAGATCACAGATTTTTGTATTACAACAAATATCATTCTGCTCAAAAAAGCCCTGAACAAGCATATGTGGAAAATTCATACTAACCTGTAAGCACAGTGCAGAAATTCATGAAAATGAGACTTATAATAATTAAATATTGCTTTCAAAGCTAATTAAAAAGTCAGTATAAAAGAAAAATAATAGTCTTATAAAATAATTGTTGATTTTACACTTAGTTGCTTGTTACAGTGCATGCAGCTAGCTTTCTCTCCGTGAAAAATGTCAGACTGGTGCATCAACTAATTCAAAAACATGGTGAGAAACACAGGCACTTCACTGATTCCAAACACTCCATATATACATTACAATATGTGTACCTGAGGTGAGAACCATTTGTCATACACACTTCAAAATGTCTTGTACTACATGTAATACTGTCACAACATGGAGACAAGAGAAAAACTGTAATTAACAATATCCTTCATTCACATTGCATGGCAAATTACTTTTCTTGGTTCTATCACCCTGTGAACAATCTTGAAAGGGTCTCCTTGGGTTATAGGAAGGAGTAATGAAAATACCTGTACCTGTACAACACCATGGTTTGCACTAGCGACCCTTCAGTCTCCAGTCTTACACTCAACACTATCGTTAACACTAGCGACCTTTCAGTCTCCAGTCTTACACTCAACACTATGGTTGACACTAGCGACCCTTCAGTCCTACACTCAACACTATGGTTAACACTAGAGACCATTCAGTCTCCAGTCGTACACTCAACACTATGGTTAACACTAGCGACCCTTCAGTCTCAAGTCCTACACTCAACACTATGGTTAACACTAGCGACCTTTCAGTCTCCAGTCGTACACTCAACGCTATGGTTAACACTGGCAACCCTTCAGTCTCCAGTCGTACACTCAACCATTAGACTAAAGGGAAATTCCCACTAGCTGAGACTATTAAGTTGACCTGTACCAGTATTTCCTCCTACAATTGTATAAGCTGCAGCAGGATCAGCAGGAGACCTACTGCATACCATACAGAACTAAGGTCATCATCAGATTGTTAGACCAGGAGTCCAATTCTCAGATTCCAGAGAGACATCAGTCACCATTGGTAGGAATGTTTACCACACACCTAAGATCTTCAAAGTAATGCCAGCCAATGCTGACTGAGCAATCATTACCCCTGGCAGTTTAAATTTTCAAGAGATTTATATGTATTTCCCCTACAAGACCCTACCCCTCTGCCCTATAAGAATCCAGATTAAGGTCCCTTAAACTATGGAAGCTTAAGACAGAATCATGTCATTCCTACAGAAGCTAGAGCATCAACAAGACTGCTCATTTATTTAAAATTTCTTTCTTTTTCCTAAGGGATGCTTCTAAACAAATTTGATTGTACACAATAATTAATGATTTGTAGAAAATGATTAGCTGATCAAATTTCCTGACCAGCTTTAAATGAGATGTCCAAAATGTTAAAATGTTTACATATGGCATACAGTGCACAACATAACAGAGGGAACACCACAACAATAGGTCATCCTGATCATCCAATGTATTTTGGTCCTTCATCAGTGTGTGAAATTTGATTGAAACCCCTTAAGGAATGTAACTGCTAGAGTGCTGTCAAGGATACACACACTGGAACACATGTACAACTGACATTTGTCATGAGCAAAAGCAGTTAACTAAATAAACTAGGGCAGATCCATATCATACCAATGGGGTAAGCATTGACTGTGATTCTTTAAAAATCTTTATCTCCAAACTTAACCATGACTTTGAAAAGTCAGCCTACTTAGACATTACATATTTATTAACCAACCCTGAAACTGTAAATCAAACATTACACAAGAGATAATCATGTTACTGTCTTATTAAATGTACAGTGTATTAGTAATGAAATAATATTGTTATTAAAATAAAGTTAATGTTGAAGTAAAGAAACTATGTCATAATAGAATTAATACATTTTATTACAGCATGGAAGAAACCAAAACATAACATACAGTTATCTTACTTTAGTCAAACTACATTGTATGTATAGAAAATATACAGCTGAAGCAAATATTGATGGTTTGCAGCAGGCAGTAAGTGTTGATTTCCTATCATAACCCTAAGATCTGGATACACTGCTCTAAGGTCTGGATACACCATCCTAATGTCTAGGTACACTGCCCTAAGATCTGGATACACCATCCTAATGTCTAGGTACACTGCCCCAAGGTTTGGACACATCCCACCAAAGTCTAGATATACTTACCCAAGGGTTGGACACACCACCCCGAAGTCTAGATATACTTACCCAAGGGTTGGACACATCCCACCAAAGTCTAGATATACTTACCCAAGGGTTGGACACACCACCCCGAAGTCTAGATTATACTGACACCAGGTTTGGACACATCCCACCAAAGTCTAGATATACTTACCCAAGGTTTGGACACACCACCCCAAAGTCTAGATATATTGACCATAGGTTTGGACACACCATCCAGAAGTCTAGAAATATTGACCCAAGGTATAGACACAATAACCTATGGTCTGTAGTATGTTCTACTACTGCCGTAACCATAGTTACTAGAGTAGGAACTTGGAGTGTATCTGCCATAAGACATAGACCCTCCATAGGTAGCACTCCCATATTTTGCATAGGATGATGAACCATATGTGCTAGTAGATGAACCTACAGGTTTTGTTGACTCTATCTGTGTATACGTTTCAACTTCACCATAATTTTTTATTCTGTTTGACAGATATTTCTCATCTTTATCATTAAATGTAAACTGTGTTTGAACACTTGAGTCAACGTCTGCTATACTAATTGGTGGTAGTTCCTTGGTAGATTTTGTCCCTTCTTGAGCCATAAATAGTTTCTCAACTTTGTTCTCTGCTTTGGAAGATTTTATTTCATCATATTTAGAATCAAGAACTTTGCATCTGTTATCAATTTCATCTACTTTCTCTTTTAGCTTTAGTTTTTCAGCATCAACAGTTAATTGTGCCATTCCAAGTAATTCTTTTTCTCTTTCCTCTAAGAGCTTTCTTAATCGAATAAAAGATTCCTTAATATTCTCTGACAACTCTTCTTCTTCCTTATTTATGGATTCAATTACCTTTTCCACAGCAGCACGCTTCTCTTTTAAAGCAGTATTTTGTGACTGCAGCTCAGCCATGGCTTCATCCAAGATTTGAATGTATTTATTTTTGGCTGCTTCAATATCCAAAACAGTGTGTCCGTCACTCTCCTTATGATCTAGTATGGTACAATCTCTACAAACTAGGCAACAACAACACTCACAGAAAAAGTTCAGGTGCTGATGTTGATGTTTTTCGCAGTATTGTATAATCTGAATGTCAGTGTTCTTTACAAAGTCTATGAGCTGTACCACACGGTGGTCAGTGGGCAGTTGTCGGACACCTGCTTCCTGTGTGATAAAGTGCTTACGGCAGGTTGGGCAGACAACACTTACTGCCAAAGGCACAAACCCATGTGTCTGTGCCTTTTGATAGTCCACTTCCCCTTCGAAAAGTTTCAGAGTACACTGTTGGCACAAAGTATGATGACAAGGCAGAATCTTTGGGGGACGTTCGGTAATGTTGTAAAGCTCTCTGCAGATCAGACACCTGAGGAATGTCTCCAGAAAACGATCTTCCTCCAAGAAAATATTTCTCTTGTCGTCTACAGATTCTGTGGATCCTTTGAATGACTTCAGCAGGTCAAACTGCTTCTCTAATTCTGAAACAAATAGTTAATGTAAAAAATCAGGTATTCATTACAATCATAAACATTCTTTACCAAAATCACTTCACAAAACCATGAAGATTTTTCTATATATGTAACATAACACAGGTTTAGGAAAATGTGTTGCATTAACTTGAATTTTTTAGAAAAATTCCAGTAGTGGACTTGCTAGTCACCTATTTTCTACAGGAAATGGCTGAAATGAAACAAAGAACGGAAAACAAGAGGCTCAAGGTTGTTCCAGGACACACAAGTTCTGGGCCTTTTTCAGATTAAGGAAACTATCACATCTGTCACATTTTAGATAAAGACTTTAAGTTCTGATTATTTATTAATTGATTAACTGATAGTATATAATACTTCACATGCAACCATTAAAGAAATTAAAAATCAAGAGTATCATTGAAACTAACAAATGCTCCAAACAACTTCATTGGACACATTGGTACACTGCACATTGTTTTCTCATGATCAATGTACACACCAACTTTTCAAAATAAAGCTTAATCTGTCTGAAATAATCAATTTTGTGCCTCCTTAACTTTAAGCATGTTCAAGGATGCTATGTCAAAACACTACAATAGTATACCTTTAGCACTTCTATGTAGTGGGGACACGACTTTGGCCGATTTCTCCTCAGAATCCTCAATGGATGCCATAAGATGAGTCTTTACCTGGCTGTTCTTGATATTCTCTGCAAAACAAGCAAAACTGTTGAGAAACACTGCAGTATTTCTAAAGGAGATTTAGTCTTGAGAAACACAGTACGAAAATACTGGACAGGAAGGAAGTAAACACTGGAGAAGAATTCACATAATGATTAAAATGACATCATGTTAAAACAACTTTTTTCACTGATTTTTTTTTTATTATTGCATGTATATAGTCCTTACCATGTGTGATTTTTCTGAAAAGTCTGAAATCCAAGATGACCGCCATGGGCACCATCTTGAAAAACATATTTTAAACTTCTTCTCAAGTTCCAATGGTGCCATTGAGCTAAAAATTGGTGAAATTGTTAAAGAAAGGTAGCTAACACAGTGTTGTTATTTACGACATTGTCAAAACATTGATACGGCAGCAAGAGAGGCTGTTTTAAAACATGATTGCACTATCATGGTTTTCCTGTGCAACACCTATTTCAAACTTCTTCTCAAGTTTCACCAGTTACAAAAATTTGTGCTCCTAGGCCATTTATGACTAACGCTTTGTAAGAAAAGTTGAGAGACCACAGACAACAGATGATGGAGGGCTGTGGTATGGCATCAGCTCATGGGTAAGCTACTAATTTGTTTGCCTTCCAAATAAGGATACTTCTCATTATATTGGGTAAAGATCTGCTTAGTCATTCATTATCAGAGGCAATTTTTAAGAAAAAAGACAGCTTAAAGACCATGCCATGGTATAGCATGATCTCAACACTTCCATGGACCTGGTAAAAAAAAACACCCAAAATTTTACTTTAACAAGATGTCCATGGGCCTTAATGGTCATCTGACTACAAAAACTTTCACAGTGAGAAGGGTTATTCTAGGCATTTTGGTTATTAAAAAGAAGTCATCTGAATGGAAACGCAAGGCGTAAAAGTGCAAGAAAACTACAAGAAACACAATTATGACTTTAGGCCAGATGACCGTATAAAAGTTGATCAAGTTACTTTTCCATACACCAGACAGTTGATATTTCTTAGTTACTCTGGATCAGTTGCCAACATTTTTAGTGAAATCAGTCAAGTGTGGAATTCAAAATTATTTTTTCATAGAACAAAACAAATTCACTTTATTTAAGACTTGTTCAGTTCAATCTCATAAAACAGATGGTTTTAAATTGTATAGATTAACACAATGTCTTGTCTGTCCAAAAAAGAAAGAGAAAGTGCTCTTTGCATGCTCCATGTTGATGCAACACAACCCGAGATTGCAAGATGGTTTGGGTGAAGTAAAAAGACATGGGACTGACCGCCCTAGGAGCGGCCAAACACAGCCAGCCCTCACAAAGACCATCTAATACCACTTAGGTTCAGTTTCTTCCTGGAACCATTGCAGCAAGGACTTTGCAAGGTCAACAGGTAAACAGTCAGAGGAGTCGTAACACCTTTGCAACTTCGCCTTGATCGGGCCCGGTGACTCGGATGATAGCTCTGATGGCAATGGAGCAATGTTTTATTCTCCAAGGAGTCAAGATTGTGTTTGATGTACAGTGATGGGGGCAGTGAGTATGGCAATGCGGGAAGGAATGCTTCACAGACTGCTGTGTAGGCCAGTGTGACAGATTTGGTGGGAGTAGTGTGATGATCAGGGGCAGCATATCTAGTGGAAATCGAACCAGATTAGTTATTGTCAATGGCAATTTGAATGCAAATTCAGTATGGGGATGGACTTAAGCACCCATAGCCATTCTGTTTTCACAGGGTCAAGGAGCTGGGTCCATTTTTCTGCATGATAATACAACACCTACAGTTTTAATGATGGCCTCATGATCATCTGCCTCAACAGGAAAGATGGCTGCTATAATTGGACTAGTGTCTGAATTATTGTTAAGGTAATGACTTGACCATTGGTAAGTACATCGTGAATAAAGTCATGAAAATTATCCAGGAAAGATATGTGCTCCATATTTTAGAATTGTGTATATACAATGTACAATTATAAACAATGTATGCACATTTATTTTAATTCTTTCCAAATCTGATATTCCATCAAATTTAGATCAAAGTACTGAAAGTACTGGTATGCTAAGACCATTGAAAAAATAAGTTCTTTGTTATTAGCTTGCTATATACTGAAACCAACTATATGCAAGCAGTAAATCATTGCAGCCCATAAAAAATGACCAGCAGATATCAGAAATAACAAGCATAGTAGTATTACTTATGCAATACATGTCCCAAGTAGGTTCAAAGATGCAATGATAGGGAAGTTGTCCATTTCTTTGGATACATTGTAGGAAATGTTGATCTTGGACACCATATTATCACTTTAAAGACTGCGTATCTTATTGGTTTAAGACCATTAGTTAGACCATCATGCAAGTAACATGCTACATACAAATATTGGGCAGCTTCATTTTCCAGATTGTTTGTAAATGACTGCATAAGAGTGCCAATTTTCTAAAACAAATATGATATGTCACCATAACTTAAAATAGAAGATGCCTATTCTTCCGGAACACCTGGTCTTATTCTCCTTGTACTTTTTCAGGGAATCTTGAGTAGATATTGTCTTTGTTTCAATTTTACACTTGTTTTGCTGGTTCTACAATTCTGTTGACATGTTTATATATTCTTTGTTCTCTAAAACTTGTCGCAAGATATTTTATTCCTCTTGTATTATCATTTTTAACATCCTTACAGTGACCTTGAAATTTGCAAGATGTGAATATCTTTTAGGTTGTGAAATTTGATAGAAAAATGAGGGTAATGCAAAGAACACCCCCATGCATCTATCCGTTTTTTGACTGTGACCTTGATCTTAGACATCTGACCCTGAATTTCTAAAGAAACCGACTTCTCTCATAAGGGATACATGTTCCAAATTTGATTAAGGTATACTGTCTCAGTCTCAATGCGTTTACAAGCTAATCATATAGTACTTATGCAAGTACTGTGACCTCTACATTCAATCCTCAAAATCATTACTATATCCTCTCCACATTGCCCAGGGATAACTGAAACTGTAATCCAAATGATAACTAATACCCCCGACACCCACAGCCTTAGCTATCTCCCCATGGTGACCTTTTGCACAGAGACATCCTCTGAAACACAGCAGCATGTGCACATGTTCCCTAACATTCCTGCAAAGTTTTGTTGAAATTGGTCCACAGGTTTAGAAGTTGACTGACAAGCAAAACCCGTCTATATTGACCAGTTGCCATGGCAATCAATATTTCGAGGAAAAATGGTGCATGCACATCTACACATTGTCCTGAATATTACTGAAAAGTTTCAATGGAGTTGTCCAGACAAGATGTGTCTACAGACAGACAAACAGATGGATGGACTGATAGACAACCTGATTCCAGTTTACCCACCCTTTTGGTGGTATAAGAATGCACAAGAGTGCTTACAAATTCCATGTGGACAGACATTATGGAAAAATAATAATAATAATAAAAAAAAAACATGATACAGATGCTTATATCTTGTTTTATTCAGTTTTTAGATACAGTATTCTTTCCATGCTTTGATCAGCAATGTAATCTTGTCATGTCAATATCCTAGTACAAGATTGCATACACAAAATTGTTGTAGGTAGACTTTTAAGATACATAAAAAATACATGCCTAAGTTTAAATGAAGGTTTTAAACAGAAGTCATATTATGTTCAGTATACAGTGATTTTTCTAGACAATTGTAAACTATAAACTTGGTATACAGCGATCTTTTCTACACATTTGTAAACAACAAACTCATTATGCGGTGATCTTTTCTACAAAAAGTTTTTTTTTATATATTGTATACACTAAACTCAGAAAAAAAATAAATAAGTAAACCTTTCTATGTACACTACAAACTCAGTATACAGTGATCCTTTCTACACAAACTTGGTATAACTAGTGAATCTTTCTACTCAAGTAAACTGAAGATTGTATACAAATTTACTACAAATGCAGTATACAATGATCTTTTCCACAGTTTTTTTAGTTTCCACGATTTGCTGATTCTTCTTTTGTGATGGTAAATATACTGCCGCCTTTAGAAAGTACTGTGACATTAAAAGGCAACATGGTTGTTAGCATCTCCTCAAGTGATTAATCATCTTCAACATCTAATTGGAGGCCGGAAAGAAGACGTTTTTCTCCACCATAAGGTCCTCAAATCCATTGTTGGTCACCATAGCCAATTCCAACTTAGAAAAATCAATAGAGATACCTTCTACCATTCCAGATTTCATTTCTTCAGGGACATCCACTTGCTGAAAGAGAGTAAGGGAAATAAATAACTATATTTCATTATTGCTATGATTATGTGCAAGAAATATACACTTCTGTATAAGCTTATAGTCTTCCCAATAGGAGTCTATATTAAATATACTGTCAAATTATTAAGCGATGGACAGCTAGCAAAATGATAATATCTTGACCATGGTCATACAGAGATTGAATCATAAAATTAAGTTTGTGTGATAAATCTGTGCAGTACGGTAATTTATTTTGACGTTTGTATTAAAAAAATCATTTTGACTTGAAAAGTAATATGTAATTTAATTAATTACATTGGGCCGTCATGTAATGGTTATTTAATTATTTTGAAAATACCTGTAATGGCAATGCCCTCTCGAGGGGTATTGGTTAGACTATTTATCCCATTTCATTCCATTCACCATGGAAACAAAACTCTAAAACGCTTAAAAACAGTCGACAATTTATGACAAATATTGAGCCTAGGGCTGTGTAAAATTGATGAATCAAGTGTTGAACTGAAAGTGGAAGCAGTTGACATAATACTGAAATTTCTGAGATAACAAATACAGTACATATATCAAAAGTTCAGGCATAATAAGAATTGTACCAATTACATTTTACACATTCACACTGGGACCTAACACTTTACATATTCACACTGGGACCTAACACTTTGCTAGGTTTATCCTAATCTTTATTAAAACACTTTCCGGGATTCAGATGTCAATTGACATCTTCATTATTCCCAATCTTTATATTGCAATCGTTCACATGCATCACTCTTCAACA